TTGGACCCGCCCCGGGGTCAGGGTTGTTCGACGGGATCAAGTTGACGATCAAGCGAAGCGTGCGGAACCATTGCCCATTGTCCTCCTCCTTCCAGCCTTTGCGCACGCCGAAAAGGCCGTTGTACACTGGATGATCATTCAGGCGAAGGGTTTCCGACACAACCTCATACCTCGGATCAGCTCCTCCGCATCCGGAATCCTAAGGAGGTCCGGCTCAACAACGTAGTCGCGAAGCTCGGGCGAAACCACGGATGCGAGGTCAACACGCCCCGCGTCCCCAAACCCGGGGACATGGGGCTCAATAGCCCTCTAAGATAGCCGGTACGCCTTCTCAACATCGCGGCCAAAGTAGATATCCCCAAGAGACTGGCGGACGACCTCCCACTTCTCAATCGCCACTTCTGTGTTGGAGTCCGAGGTCATCAGGAGTGAGTACTTGTGCAGTCGGTCCACTGCTTGCTTCTGACCTTTGGTCCAGGTGTCGGGGTGAGCCATGACTTGGCCCAACATCTGCCTGCCTCCGCAGTACATGTAGTCCAAGAGTGCCACCTGCAGGTACGTCCAGCACTCGGCGCCCAGCTCAGGAGTGACCTTCATCTTGAGGCCCTGCCGTTCTTCAGCCGCTAGTGAACCGCTCCCACAACCGGAGCATCTCTTCCTGGACCGCCAAGAGCTCGGTAGACTCCTTGGGCAACGCGGCTGGCAACAACTCGATGGGGTTAGCCTTGAATTGCTTCCTAGCGCAGCACAAAAGGCACCTGACGAAGTTCCCCAAGTGCCCAGGTCTGGCCCCCAAACCAAGTTTGAGCACCAGCCCAACAAAGGCCATGTTCACCCCATCGACCAGCCAGAAGCGGAGCCACGAGCGCCAGGTGTCCATGACCCAGCAGCGGCCAGGTCGCAAGTTCCAGTCATCAACGAGTCGCTTGGCAGCATCGACCTCACCAGCCATGACATAGAGGGGTCGCCCACTAAGAGCAAGCTGGGCTGCTGTCCCGTCGAAGTTGGCACTCATGCCCTCTTGAAACACACTGCGGGTAACTTCGGCACTTCCACGGCCAACATAGATGCCGCCGTCGGAGGCGTCCCATCCTTTGAAGTATTCGAAGATGGCGACTCCCTTGCAGGTTTCCAACAACCGCTTCGCCGGGAAATCTGGAAGAGGAAAACCCAAGTCAACCAAGGTCTTCAAATCTGCCTTCGAGAAGTCCTGGAGTCGTCGACACGTGTATGCAGTCACAGACCACCGAATTCCAGTCCAATCCTCCACATAGTGTCTGCTTCGGGCATCGAAGCAGAAGAACTGCCTTCGAGTGTCCACACAACGTCCTCGGAGTTGGCCGTCCACATTGTCGAACGAACGTAGCTCAGTACTACGACTCAGTACCAGAAGAATCTTCAACCCAAAGAGCACCATTCACGAAGTCACCCAAGGCAATTGAGTGGTTCAGCGTGCCGGGGAGGTTTCCCAAGTCAGCGTGAAGGGCAATCTTCTCGTTCGAATTTATACACAGACTCGTCCAGGTGTGTCCTGGTAACCAGGCGCGAAGCCAAGTGTTGAGCTCTTTGATGACTTCAGAGTGTCTCGATGTAACACTGGTGATACCGCAGCGCTCCGAGGAACCATACGCACCCAGGATGTAGTAACCAGTTGGCTGGCTTTCATCAGCTGCTACTGCAGAACGCTTCGACGAGCCATCGCCGCTGAAGTTTGCCCTCAAGAGCTCAAGCACCTTCTTACAGTCCTCCTCAAGTCCACGTCCATGCAGCCCCCCAGAGATGCCACCCCCTGCTCCCAGATTGGAAGCAAAGGCCAGCGATTCCAGAGGGCCCCATGGCGAATAAAACTCAGCAAAGAACTCCGTGGCCTTAACCAGAAACTGCTCCGCCCCGCGGTCAGGTCCGAGTGGTCCACCATGAAGCAGGCAAAGTTGTGGCGGAGGCGATCTCGAGAGCTTTCACTTGACAACTGCCGCAACCCGAACTTCAGAAGTTCCCCTAGCTCCGGGATTTTGCATAAGCCCAGGAGAACCTGAAGGTCAGGCGAAGGATCATCGGCATAGATGCCAGGGAAATTGAAAGCGCTCTCCAGCTCCGGTAGGCGAAGCACCCCATCAACAACAAGCGCACTCTCACCGGGGAAGGAGTCCACCTCATCGAGCTTCAGCGACGCCACTTCCCCTTGCCTTGCTTGCCCTTGCCTTTTCCTTTGCGGGGACCCTTTGGAGCGTTCTCCGGCGGCTTGTCCGTGTCCTCCTTCACCGTCTCGCCTGCGTCGGCGGCCGCGTACCACCTCTGAGGCTTCCAACTCCGGCGCTATGGATCCTTCTGGAGCTCCAGATCGGCTTTGACCTCTTGCTGGGCGGCCTTCAACTCTTGCCTGAATACCGCTGTTTGGTCGTGGGTCATGACCAGCTCCAGTTCCGCCGCCTGACTCCAGTTGCCCTGCGACTGTGCCACTTCGAGAGTTCCGAGGGCCTAGCTGATCTACTCCGTGCTGGGCGAAGTAGATCTGGTGCAGGTAGGCCCTGGCGACTCCTGGGACTCGCGAGCTCTGCTGCGCCGGTCCCCCTCCTTGTGCTCGCAACAGGAGCTCTTGCAACCTCAGAAGGGTCAGCGAAGCTAGCTTCCCTGGCTTTCGCTGATGGATCCTCCTTAGTCGCTCCACTCCTCGAGGAAGGGCGGCCAGTCTAAAAACTGAGTCCTCGCTGCTGTAGCTGGAGTCCGATGTCTCGGGCTCCTCCTTCTTCTTTTTCTTCTTCTTTTTCTTCTTGTCATCCGGATCGCCAGATAGCTCCAGGGCTGAAGCCATGGGGGCCTGCGGCTTGCGCCGTGCGATCTCTCCAGCCAGGTCCTCTGGTGAGTGTCCACCATCCGTCTCGGCGTCCTCCACAGTCTCGCCTTTTCGTCTTCTTCTTCGACTCGGACCAGGATCCTCCGGCACGTCCAAGTTGCCGACGCCAGCACCCAAGGCTCCAGCCAATCCTTCGATTCCAGGAATCCCAGGCACTACCCCTTGTCCTCCATCACCCTGTATCCCGCTACCCCCCGGGCCAGAAGCCCCAGGAGCGGCGGTAACATGAGCAACGTAGGCGGGGTAAGCCACCATCCGGCCTCGAACTTCATCTCGAAGCCACGCCAGCTTGTCCAGCGCCTCGTGCTCCAACACGCGAAACACGTCCACATGGATGATGTCGCGGTACACAGTTGCCTCCCGACAACGACTGGCATGGGTGGCGCAGAAATGTAGAGGGCAGCGCCGATCCAATCTATAGACTCCATAGGTTCCATCCGGCCAGTGCTCGTAGTACTCGTCCTCGCATCCCAGAACGTGAGCCACCAGGATCTTCCCAGCCTTCATTCTTCCACTTTCTCCTTCAGCAACAAGGTATGCCAACACTCGTCCTTGCTGTTTCCCAGCATCATCCAGGGCGACAAACTCGACCCACCGGTCCACCTCCAAGGTGTCCCAGTGATCTTCACTGGCCTTCCGCCCCGTTTTGAGCCAGCCCGCGAAAGGTGGCATGACACAGGGGTCCTAGCACAAGCAAGGTGGTCCTGGACTTATGGAAAGACCCCCCTAGAGGGGTCCCCCAGCCAGAACTCACCCCTCTTGTGCGTTGGTCAACTCAAAACGGGCAAATTTGACCCGAAATGCTAGTGTGCTTCGCATTCGCACTATTATGCAGAGAGCTGTTTACTGGGAGCATGTCATGGGGAGGCCCTTAATATTGGCGGAACAGGCTATTTGCAGCCCATGTTTGCACCCGGCAGAGAGATCTTGAAACCCTCCTACAACTTGAAAACAGAGAGTTTCCCCAGTGTCCTGGATATTTCTACAGGAAATCAGTACAGACATGGAAAACGTTGCCGGAACAGCGGGGCAGCAGACTTGCCACAGCCGCATGCCAGACTTATGGCGCGAAGCTGCTCTAACCTGAGGCCGAGTGCAAGGGCGACACAGAGGACGCAGAATGACTCCAAGACTGCTGTCAGGAAGCCTCAAGCCACGCGCCGCAAAGGGTACGACCGGTGGAGCCTGGAAGCTGTGTAGAAAGCTTGACGGTTGATGGCTGCTCAGCTGTCCCCGCCTTACACCCCTGTTTATGGAGGTCCTGCACAAGGGCATGGAACTCGGATCGTCCGGCCCAGTCCGGGCATCTGTCGGCCTGCAGCCCAAGACCTGACGTAGATTTATGACTGCTTCTTTTAGCAGGCCCTGCACCGATTTCGCACCCCAACATTATCTGTGGCCTGACACTGCCATCCGAATCTCCTGAAGCTTGGAAAATCAGAGTCTCCCTGCTTTGGGGTGTTGTGCACTGCTCCTCATGGCAGAGGCGACCTTCGCCCTCCAAGTCGCAGGCTTCGAACACGGCTTCGACCACCCTGATTTGCAGGGCACTAAAGCGTCTTCGCACTTAAGAGTCCGCGGCTGCAGATGGTTGAGCCGCGGTGCTCGGGCCGTTCTGAAGATGCGATGCCCGCTGCAGACCCCATGGCATCCGCTTCACATGAAATCAGAGAGCATTGGCAACAGAACATTGCTGAGGCTCGAGGCGCGCACAGCAGGCAAAGCAGGCATGTTGAACTCACAGTGCCAACAATCACCAACTGCGCATGAACCTGCGCGCCTCATCCATTTCCCCGCTTTTCTGTTGTGAGAGAATTCGGAGGCCACGTGCCCCTTCCAGCTCCTGCTTCTGCAAAAGCAAAATGCTCAGTTCTGCCAGCTGCGGCCAACCAGCAGTCCTCTGCTAATCGCTTCTGCAGGTTGTCGAACTCAAATTCGTCCGAAGCGCCATACCTGCATCGCGCGGCATATCGGCATAACAGTGAATTAATGCACCAAACAAATGATCACCTCCCAGGGTTCCGCACATGATAGACAAGCCTTAGTCCAGAACCCTGCCAAGATCTGCCAAGCCCTGCAAGTGGCAGACGTCTCTGGGTTTTTTGGGGTCCTGGCAACTGATCTCCTGGCCGGGAGAGCACGTAGATGGTTGCGCGAAGGGCAAGCGTGCCGAGCCTTGGGTTTTTGACAGAGAAATCACCTGCGCTCAGGCTTCTTCAGATCCAACTACCCATCGCTGCCAAAATGCTCGCTGCCATCCCAGGCTACCAGGAACCGCATCCTGCAAGTCATCCCCATAGCTGTGTTCCAACTATGTTGAAGCTGCAGCTCCCGCCTAGGCCTCGAAGTGCCCGAAAAGTTGAGTCAGAAGACATGCCGACCATTCTATGAGAGCTGGCTCATGGCTGCAGGCGGCGCTTGAAAATCTGGAAACACGCATCACATGATGCAAGGCTATGCAGTTGCTGCATGTTGCTGCATCCCGGCCTCCGGCTGCTCCAAAGCTTCTGGGACTGGAACGGAGCCCTAGCCAGCCGCACAACACGTGTCACATCTCGTGCAACTTACTGCCAAGGGCCACCTTCTCCTTGCCGTTTTTCCCGGGCCCAGATTTGCCCCGGCCTTTTCCGTTCTGGTGGCCTCGGCACAGACTTTTACCAGTCATCACATGGAAATCAAACCCAACAGTCCACGGTCTCAGTCACCTGCCGCCGTAGGCGTAGCCGTTGCCATGTGTTCCCTCACGACTTAGGCAACCCAAATTCAAGTGTGCAAATCTGAGCAGATGGATTAGCTAAATGTAGTCCCATGCTGTCAGGTGACCTTTCCGAAGGATTTGCTGCCAATACCGTTTTCGGCCTCGGTCTTTTTCCCGGTGCTTACATACTCTTTGCATCCCAATGACCTGAAAGAACGTAAGTTTCAAACTTGCAGCAAAGCCAAGCAATCTGTTGTTTTTCTGTCTTGTGCAGTGGTCTTCGGTGGATAAGGGAGTTGGCGAACGTTATGTTAAACGGACCAGCCAGGTGGAGGCTTTGGATGTACTCTCTCCACATGGGTCAGAAACACCTCCGTGTTGTACCTCAGCTACCGGGACAAGCTCTTGCGCAGAGTCAAGTGTTGCCCGAGCATTGCCCTGCAATAGTTGGAGAGCCTCTTGGGACAAGTCCTAACACAGTGGCTAAGCGCATAGGTCTTGCCAAGATGCTCGTAAGTAACGATCCATCTCTGGCAAGGTCTGCAGTAAATGCCAGTTCCGTTGGACTTCAGAGCTCCAGCATAAGGGTGGTCAAACGCTGCATCCCAAGATGTTCGCTTCTGCTTCACCGCCGCTTGTATTGCACTTCGATCATCTTCGGTTTTGACAGCAACCGCCTCTGATTTTGGTGCTGCTTTCGGGGCCGCAGCCTTTTTAGGCTCGCCGAAGTCGAAGTCTGCAAAAGGGTCCGGCTTGGCTTCCGATGGTTTTGGCTGCGTTGCTTGGGACTTTGCGTCAGGGTATCCGCCATTGGCATGTGGCTCCTTCTGTGCTGGCTTGGCTTCCGACTTGGCCTTTGCCTGGGCCTCGTCACTCTTCTTGCCAGCCTCGCCACTGAAGTCCCCTCGCGCTTCGCGCTCACGCTGCTCGGCGGCCATCCGCTCTTTTCGGCGTTTGTCGCGGTCCCTCTGGTCTGCCAAATCGGCTTCCATTTGCTGCAGGAATTGCTCTGCCAGCTGCGGGACCTCACCCACAGCCTCCAGCAAAGCCGCGCACTTGTTCTTAATGTCCTGCACGGATGGCACCAATGACAAGCACCCGCGAAAGGACCGCTGAGCATGATGCAGCCAAGGGTCAGGTGAGCCACTCCGAGCGACAAGTCGATAGTTGAAGTGCATGGCCAGTGTCGACAGTGTGGCTTGCACATCTGCAAGTGCAGCCACTGACAAAATTTCCGCTCCCTGCTTCAAGAACTTTCGCAACTTTGCTTCAGCCCCTCTTGTGTCGTCATGTCCTTGTGGCGTGCACCAAGCTCCAAAAATGACAGTGCTTGGGCTTCCAACATGTCATATGCCGCATGCGATTCAACAGCCAAAGAGCTGCTGCGAGGTTCAGGCAAGTTACGAAGCGTCTTGATCTCATTTGCTACAAATCGCTCGACAAAGAGGCGCAAGATGTTCAGGGCGGGCTGAGAATTGGACTTCCTTAGGCGAGCAGAGCACGCAGATTCACAAGCCATGGTCGCCAGCCTAATCCCTCCAAACTACTTATGCGGAATAGCCACACTATGACTTCCAATCCAAGCATCAGAGCCTTGTCTCCAACGATTTCATCCCGAGATTTTTTGGCGCGTTCCCAGAGTCGGACTGTATTGTCATGGACATCCATGCGCAGTTTCTTTATCCTTTCATTTGGCGGCAATCCTTGGCTGACCGCGTCTGTAAGTGCAGGCTCAGTTTGTGGGTTGAGCCCCTCCAATTCCACGATGGCTGCATCCTGTACAGCTTGTTGCAAAATGCCTTCGTGAAAATCTGTACAATACAAGGCAGGCAACTGTTCTTCTCTTCCTCCTCTTCCTTTTCCTTCAATTTCCTGGCCTCCTCACCCAGTTCCAAACAATCCATATCACATGTGTTCCCCGTCTTCTATTCTCATGGCAAGCACTATTTTCAATGACCCATCCTGCCTCCTCTTCAGGATCCTCCTCCGTGTCCTTTTTGCCGTCTTTGCCGTCCTCCTCGTCTTTCTCCAAATCTGTAAGGCGCTCCTGCAAGGGCTAGCCAAGTGACTTCAGCGCTTACTTCTACAGACCGAGCATCCGACAACTGCAGCTCCTTCATTTCCTGCAATTCCTGGAACTTTTCTGGATCACCACCTTTGTCCGGATGGAGTTCCAGCGCCATCTTTTTGTACATTGCATTGATGTCCTAAGCACGTCTGCAAGCACAGAAAGCTGCAGCTCCTGCATACGTCAGGCTCGCAATCCCTTGCGTGCACTTGTCTATCGTTTCTTCCTCAATGTTCACATCCGTCAAAGTCCGCTGTTTTCAAGTAACCCATGGTCTCTTCAACGCTGTGCTTGCTGCACGGTCCGCATCAGGGAAATCCTGTGCTCCATGTCCTGTATGCACCACACACTCCCGTGTCCAGATGGGGGAATGGTTGCAGTTTTTTCCTTGCAACAGCATGCAATTGAAAGCCGACTTTGCGCAAACATTGTGGATGTGCGACGGGTCCCGTGGGACCTGATTTGCATCAAGCTGTGCTCAACTCTCGACCTCCGTCTTCGGAGTCTTTGCCTTCATTTATCTTCCGTCTTCCATCTTTTCGTGACTGCGCTCCCTAGTACTGTTCCCAGTCAGACTGTCATAATCGCATGGTCGCTGAAGTCTGAAGCGTGAGGATGAAAGACACTGAACACAATCTAAGTGGTTGACAATTTGTCAGCAAGACCACCCCCCACTAGAGGAGCCGGGATAGCTACATATTCAAGAACTATCTGCGTAGTTATCAGGGAGGGAGGACTCCAACATTCCCATCCCGGCTACGAAGCGAGCCAAGTTAACCAGGCAGAACTGCTTTCTGTTGATATCCAAAGGTCATTCATGTTTGAATCTGGTGGCAGCCCTAGGAAAGCAAGGGCTGAACGTTTCTGCAGGCTTTTCAGATTGGCGTTGACGGAGTCGCGCCACTTCTGTATTCTGCTGACCTATGAGGGTTGTGCTCGCAAAGACTCAGCATCTTCAACAATCAGACCCGGGGCTGCCTCATCGTCCGTCTCTTCCATGCTGGAGGCCTGAAACCATGGGCCCAGAGTATCGCCCTGTAATGCATCCTGAGACCTAATGCATACTGCCCTTAAGAATTCACCAAAAGGCCAAGGGCCTTGCAGGGGCACTTACTTCCAACCTTAGGTATTAAGAGCACTTGCTCACTTACTGCAAGATCTCCCAGCCATGTGCTGTGTGGCACCTCCATGTGCTCATCCAGCTCATTTGTGCTCATGGTAATCTCCATGGCCACGGCATCAACGTCCAAGGAGCCCAGTCTCTGGCGGAGCTCAGCCTCTGTAAACAACCTCATGGGCTGCTTCGCGTTCCTCAGGCAAGCCAGGTTCAAGCGTAAACATGTTCCGCACAATGGCCATTTGACGCATCAGATGCTTGCTTCACTAGCCTGGACTCGTCTCGCCATGTGCCTGGTATCGGAACGTATCATCTGAAGCCAGCTTGTTCAGCTTGCTGAGAAAAGGGAGCACCACCAGTCCTAAACCAAGGACTGCTGTGCCAGCTGCCAGTGCTGGATCTGCATAGTTGATGATCAAGCCTGATTGGAGCATCTTCTTGCACTTTACTCTCATGGAAACGAAGCATGCCGACCTGCAAGCCCACTTCTGATTGCAATCTTGCTGCTCATAGCGCTGGACTGCGCCTTGTCCGCCGTCATGGACCCATCATCAAACAACATTAACTCACCTGAAGGCGCACACACACCAGCGTCAAACGAGGGATCGAGAAACTCCAAATCAAGTCAGCTGAAGCTGGCATCCGCCTCCCATCTCTGACTTGGGCTTCTCATCATCCTTAGGGTTTTCCTCCCGCTGTATTTCTGCTTCGCCCATGGCTGATCCTACGCCCTAGGCACAAGAAGGGCGCTCGTGCTTTAGCTAGCTGCCTGAGCGGGCAAGTTCTGCCTGGAAGTATTCTTCTCGCATATTCAGCCTGCGTGTTGTTTCTATGCTCCTCCGTTGTCAGCCTTTTTTGTCTGCGACTCGTGATGAGTTCGAAAGCTTGAGTGCCTGCCAACTCTGCACCTGCAACTCTTGAGATGAATCCAGAGAACGAGCAGAAAGTCTAGACAAATAACACCTCTTCACTACATGCTGGTGTCAGGTCATTCAGCTCCAGACTCCGACTTGCATGACCTCTTTCACAAGACCAGACTTCACATGACGCCGCCATCCTGCTTCCCGAAGCCCACCTGCTGAGCTTGCAACCTCGTCTGCCTGGCAAAAGCCCGACAATTAACATCAAACTCGCGGCTGCACCTTGCCCAGTGGTTCGCAGTGATACTCAAGCGGGACAGCTTAGCCCGCGGGGTATCAGACCCTGCAAGGCAGACGGATCCAGAAGATCCACTACCTCGCCAGCTCGACTCTCTTCAGCCGAGTTAGGAGCGCATCCCAACAGGATTTGAACAAGTTGTGCACGCTTGGATAGCCACCAGCGCCAAGTCTCCAGGGCTCATGGCATTGAGCATTTGTGCCTGTGCAGACTCTTTTCGACTTCAGCGGCTGCAATTCTCGCCCTGCCGGGTGCCGCGCAGCTGTGGCCACTGCATCCTTTGTTTCCATGGCTCAAGATGCGCAGCTTCCGGATGGTGACGGTGAGAGGCCAACTTCTTGACAACGGTACGGTAAATTGGCATCTTGTGCTTCTGCTGCCCTCGATGGCTGCTCACCACCAAGGTCCATCTGCGCAGCTTTGGCAGCAGGAAGGCAGCGTTGGAACAAGCCAAACAAGTCAAGTTGGCATGTCTGAACTGAGCAGTGCTTTCTTTAAAAATGCTATAGAATATATATTCAAGTAAGTCCAAATGACACAAAAACCCCTCTGCATAGTTGTGCGGCCCAGAATGTCCTTCAATGTCGGAGATCCTCCACGGCATCCACAGGCCTTTTGGAACCATCTTGCTTCCACAAAACCTGTCCTGTTCCTACTAGGAATGGCAGAAACTGCCATGGAATGATCTTGTGGCCTGATCTTGGCACGCACTGGGCGTCACAAAAGCCTCCGACCTTCAGCAAACCTTCTGCCAAGCTACCGCAAAGTTTCTCTCGGCAAGCCTGAAACCCTAACCTCCGAACCCCTCGATGCTTACAGGCAGGTTAAGCAAAACAGCCGAAGGTCATGCTTTTTTTGCTGAGAAGCTGTATGCTATATTCCCTGCTGCGGGCGAGCCTTCCCCAAACCTACCCTTCTGCAAACTTTCCGCGTCCTTCCGAGACCAGGCAAACCTTAAAACGTATGTCGCCCTATTTGTTGACAATGAACAACGTGTATAAAAAAAAAAGGCTCAACTGACGGTGGTTACAAGCCGCCAAGCTCACTAGAGTCACTAGAGCAGACAGCCTACATCAGCCAACTCTTTTCAGGTGCATCTTGGAACACGTCTTCGGCAGCACATGTCTGCAGCAATCCTTCTTGCCCTGGCCACGACAAACAGCAAACAAGATCGTCGTCTCAAATCATGATGGCAAGGTGTGCCAGGCTGACGGAAGCCGCCCTTAAGGTGGACAAGCCCAGGGGGTGCGCCCCCCACACCGCCTTATCTGGGGAAAAATTTGAAGCGCGATGCGGCTACGTTCCTGCACACTGCCGCACGTGCTCACAACTTCAGCCAGCCTGCCTTCTGCACCTTCCCGGAAGAGGGACGCCAAACACAGAGACCTGGCAAGTGAATGGCTTGAGACTGCCACTACCGTGACATGGTTTTCCTTCGTGCTCTGAATATTTCTACGCTTCGGGGCACACGGCGGGGACTTCGGCAAGGTGCCGCTGCGCAGTTGCCTCAGCGAGAAGCTGCTGCAATCAATCACACCTCAACAAAACAGCGCCGATTCCGCCGTGACTCTGCTTGCTCATGCATGGCGGTTTTTGTTGCACGCGCTCAAATATTCCGCCAGCAAGCTTGCCGGCCGTCGCCAGCACAAGTAGTAAGCTAAACCCGACAGGGACTGAGTGTGCAAGCACGTTGCCACGCTGGCGCAGCAGCTGTGTTCATGCGGCCTTCCGCGCAACGTGGGAATTCCTGAGTATTAACGTGTACAACGGACTCCTTGCAAAGTCCTGGTAGGGTACTTCGTATGGACGCGCTCGAGCCGCTCAGCAGCAAGGCAGCATGCCAGCTCACGACTGCAGATTTTAACTTGGCTGCGGGAATTGGCTGGCAGCTCTGCTGTCTCGAGCGGCAAATTACTGGCGCCAGCTCAGTCCAACCGATACTGAAAACTCCTTCAGGAGATCAGTGGAAAGCGGCTAGCCTGTCAATAACATAATAGAACGGAGGGCAGTTCCTGGCTCCCCAATTCTCCTCACTTCTGCTGGCAGCAGACATCTCTGAGAGTGATTTTGCAATTGATTGTGTCTAGTAGCCTGAGGTTGCAACAACTGCCCGTCCGGTTTTAAACAGAATTCATAAGGGTAAGCCATGTCTCAAACATGCTACACCCATGGCATGCAGTCCGAACCCACACACCTGACATCCGCTACTGCCATCCTTGCAGTTCAGACTAGTATAAAGACCTGTCAAATTGCTGAGTTGAGCAGACGCCAATGCGGGGACAGCTTCAGCTATCTTCCTTCCACATTGCATGCATGATTATGCCGCGACACTCGGATTCATCTCTTGTAACGCCTTGCACGGGGGCAAAACTGCACCTACTTGATGAATACCAGGCTCACACGAGACAGAAACTTTGGAGGTGAGCACCTCGAGCACGCCACTCACAACTGACAGTCGTTGCACGACACCAACTGAGCAACCAGCGTATGGGAGGTGTCAACTCATTCCTGTCCTTACGGTGGACCTTGTGGCTTCTCATAAGGAATCTGCCGCAAGTGCCAAAACTAGGCAGCGATTGCTCGCAAGTAAGCTGCAAGCAGCTCGGGCAACACCCCTTGATTCCTTCGCGCTCGTATCGCCTCACGCAGAATGCAAATCATGCCGCAGTTCATTCCTGTTCAGCTGAGCTCAGCACTGCCAGGCGACCCAGCGGCAACGATCGGGATGCCTCGCGGGCTTCATGCAATCATGCTGAACAGGAGACAGCCTTCCAAACTGGCAGAGCTGCAGTTTCAATGCCGCCGTCTCGTGCCCGGGCTCGTCGTGAAGTGGGTCTATCTCCGCTAATGGAGCCTAGGGCCAGGGAATGATCACACGAATCCAGTCACTAGATGACTGGCTGTCCAGACCTAGCAGCGGCAACCAAGCACAACCACGTGGCTTCTGAGAAATTGCAGAGGCTGGCAAGATTTCGCGCTGAGTCGAGTTTTTATACAAGTGGGAAATGGGCGCTGGGCCACCTGTGACGCAAACACGCAGCTTGAGGCCAAGGCCAGGTTACGGACCTAGGGTAGACCTAACCATTCAGGGGTTAGTGGCTACCAGTGGTAGCTAAAGTGAACTGAGGCAGTTGCAACTCAAAACTGTGTCCCAACCGGACTCTGAGTTTCGTGTCTTGGGAGCCTTTGATTACAGACCGTCCCGATTTTGGTAGGGGGCGCCCCCACTAATCAGGATCCAGAACTACTCCTTCTGAACCTGTATGTAAATACTCTTGCTGCTCCTCTACTAGTGGGTATGTGTATGCATGAAAAACAACATTGGTCAAAAAATCGTCGGAAATCAGAGAGTGTACGTACAGGGTCTAGGCATCAGATGCTCTAGGTATGAGACGATCTACGTACCAGAGGCGCCAGGTATCAGAGGGTCCAGGCATCAGAAAGCCCAGGTATCAAAAAGACTAGGGATCAGGGCATCTAGGCATCTAGGTATCAGAGGCCCGGTCCCGCCCGGTCCTGCACGCTGCATCCGAAATCAAGTCAGCGACTACAGGTGGTGTGGACTCTAGGAGGGCACAGGAAGTGCTCTGCACTGCCCCTTCTAGACAGGGCAAGAAAAAAACCTCGGAACATTTTGGCGCAACTTTTCGTTTTTTTCAGGCATCCCTCATGGCTGGGAGGCAGAGAAGTTGAAACGAGCTCTCAGCTGCAAGATAAACAGTGGGAGAGCAGCTCTTGCACTGCAGCTGTGAAACCCACTATTTTGGTCATTTGTCATTGTGACAGATTTGCCGCAGTAGTTGCCAGAGACGTTGCCACCCCTTGCTTAAAAAAAACACATTGTTTCAGGCTTGGGCTGAACAGATGAAGTCATCAAGGGCTTGTCTTGTCGCAAAGGGGGCTGTTGCAGAACCAACCCTCCGTTACGAACCTCTTATCTGCATAGGGGCTGGCCAAGGCCTCTAATTCTGGCCAATCTTTTTCAGCCTGCTCCCACATGTCGATGCACGGGGTTGTTTCTTGTCTCGCTGGCCTGCACGGAACAAGCGGTGGATGTGGCACCTGCCCCGTTTTCTAGGTGCGCAGTCAGTCGGTGCGCAGGGAAGGCTCTTGAGTTCCCGTGCGTGGCACATGCTGTGGGAGATTCTTAGCTGCAGTGGCTCGGTCTCAATGAAAGACTGATGATCTACGCCGCCTTTCAGCGTCATCCCTCTCCTTGACGAACGGTCACCAGCGCCATACTAGTAGGGTTGGGGCGGGGGTGCAAATATAACATGACATGTGCCGTGCCTGACTTTGCCAGATTCAGCGTTGCTTCCCAAATTTGGCTGAACTGTGACGACGCGTGAGGAACATGCAAACGATGGGGGATCTCGTGCCCCTGGCCAGCCGCTGGCTTTCATTGGCTTACTGCCCGATTTTCGTGGGCACTCACGGCAACCTTTAGTAAAAGGCG